TGAGTGCTGGCGGAGCGCGAACTGGTCTCCACGCGCGGCGCGGACTCGCGATGACCGCGTGGCGCGTCTCCCGGAGGCCCTGCCGCGCGCTCGGACTCCTGCTGCTGGTGCTCCTGAGTGTCCTGGTGCTCCGCAGGTGAGGGGACCCTCGCGGCACCTGCCTGCCGCGGACACCGCGCCCTCCGCACCGTCAGGTCTCGGGGCAGCCCCCGGAGTTCGCGTGACCGCGCGACCCGACCCGCGAATCCCGAGTTTCCACCGGGAACAGCCCGCTCGACTTTCCTTTGCGGAGCTCCCCAACATCCCGGCGTCCCGCTGCGTCCCCGGAGCTCTGGTCCTGCCCCAGGTCCCGGTGTCTCGGCGACACTCGGCGCTGCCCTCCCGGTCCCCCGCGTCTGAGCGCAGAGCCTCCCCACTCCCGCTCCGCGCCTGTGATGCCGGGTCCTCCTCTTCTCCTGGATGCTCCCGGCCTCTGCTAAGGTCGAAGGTCGTCAGAACTAGCCTTCAGATCCCTCTCTTGCGTCCCCCATCGCTGCCCCCCTCTAGGCCTCCTTGGGGAGCCCCTTCTGCTCTCTCAGGTCCCCACACTCCTGCGGACTCCGCTGGGAGCCTCTCTGTTCAGCAGAGGCCAGAGCGCCGGTGCTCACAGCTGTGGCCCATCTAGCCTGGGCAGCGCCGTCGTGGGATTTATTTGCCCCCTTCTAGGATCGATGTGACTCCGCGCTCCACTTTCACACCAGTCACCAGCCACCAGCTCCCCTTACAAAACGTCTGTGGCAAGTGATTGCGTTTAGGGACAGAACGCTTTGTCCAGCCTGGGTAGGTGCCCCAGCCCAGAACTTCTCCAGCCTGTGTGTGTTCATAGGATTCTGCTGCCCTGAGCATGTCCTTCAGGTCCGTGCTTGGCACTTTCCATATTCAAAACTTCCAGTGTTGCTGGGAAAGCCGACCGTCGGTAACAGGTGCGCGGCACTGGAAGTTAGCGTTGGAGAGGCTGGGGGCTGAACCCCTGGAACCGGGCAGGGGCACTACCCTACCCCTCTGCTTGATCTCCCCTTCTTTCCTGTCACCCTTCTTAGTTTCTCTGAACTTACCCTGGGAGATAGAAGGATGTTTTTGATGGAGTTAAATATCTGAACGTTTTTGGCTGCCACAGCAACACATTCAAAGACTCTTTCCATTTATACCTTTTCAAGACTTAGCATGTCTTCATTGTTTTGGAGATAGTGAGGATATCACATATTGTTTTGGAGAGGAAAAGGGTTCCCTTCTCATTCTGGGCCCCAGAAAACTTAAGCATTTTGTTTCCCCAGTTGTTTTCGAGACTCTTCTTTCATCTGTCTATGATTTCTAATCCTTTCCCCTTTGGAGACTGGCCCTGGCTCTTGTGGGATGTTCAGTCCTCCTCCCCATGCAAGACTGATGCAAACCTCAGAAGAATTACTCAAAGCTGAGGCAGCAGGAGCCTTTGGCATATAGCAGGGTTTCAAGGAGCCCACACCCCAGAGGGAAAGGCCAGAGGTGTTCATTCAAGTAGCATGTGGTTTGCCCATTGTTGAAGGTCAAGGATATAGCAGTCCATGCTGGGGACCCAGACAGGTCATTATGAGGGCCAGCACAGAAGGGCTTGAAACGGGCCGGGTAAGTACACCCTAATAGTCATGGGAAAAGGTGCGGGAAGGAGGCTGCGTGTTTGTTGGTGTCTGGTGGGACGGAAGAGGAGCTGTCAGACAGCTGAGTGGCTGGGAAGAAGCCTGAACTTCTCACAGGTGAATCAGCCGTGTTCCTACCTGGGTGGGGTGACCGCAGTAGGAGTCAGGTGGGGTCTTACAGAGTTGCTAGGATGGCAGTGGAGAATGAATAGCTGTCAGTTAAATTCATGGACATTGTTTGAAGTGCTTAGGACAGTCAATGGTTTTCCTGTTATCTCTTCTTAGCAGGTAAGACAGAGGCCAGAGAAGCTCTGAACCAAGTTCCGGGCCATCTCTTAGGGTTTAGAATATGTGTCTTTTGGGCATTTTTTGATTGTATCACCCTCGTGGGCACTTTCTGCCCAATTCTTCCTGTCTGGCATGGGCTAGCCACCAAGGATTATCTTTGGAGGCCAGAGGAGAACATGCTCATTGCCCCACCCTCTTCCTGCTTTAACTCTAGCTTTGAGTGGGTCATTAACTCCGTGGGAGGTGAGGCCTCTCCCAGCTGTCCTTGGGAATGTGGTTGTGGCCTGTGGAATATAGGTCATGTGTGATCTGGCTACTCAGCTGGCAGCTTTGGAGCTGAGCTGTACCTCTGAAGGCAGGTATTTGGGTGGAGGAGGGGGCTGCTTGGCTGCAGCTTTTTTCCCCCTGTGAATTTTACCTTGGGTTGGTTCATGGTCAGTCAGAGCTGTTTGATTACACCCCGTCCAAGAAATAGGACCAAGATGACTTTTGAGGAAGATTTCAACCTTCAGTTTCTTAGCTTGAACAACGGTGTTTTAGAAAATACTACCTTTATTGCAGCGTAATTGTCATGGGATAAAGTGCACGTTTAACATGTACAGTTTGATAAGTTTTGACATACATACCCACCTGTGAAATTACCACCATAATTAAGATAGTGAAGATATATCCACCAGCCCCAGAGATTTCCTTGTGCCCCTTCGCATTTCTCTCCTATGCCTCTGCTCCCTGATCCCTAAGCACACTGATCTGTTGCTTCCTGCCACCATGTGTAAGTTTGAAATTTTTAGTGTTTGATAGAAATGTGATCCTAAGTCTGTGCTCTCATTTGGTTGGGCTTCTTCCACTCAGTGTTTTCCTTCGAGGTCAGTGATGAATGTATTAATGTGAACTGTGTCTTTGGGTCAGTTACCTCTCATTGTCTTTCCTCCTCCCACTCCACAAGAATGCTTGCTTGATAGTATCAAGGCATGACTCCCACTCATGATTTTTTCCTTAATATAAATGCATCACTGAGCAGTAATTGAATTAACTCTGCATCTCTCATATCTGAGGTTTTAGCTGGCAAAAGTCAGGAGAAAGGAAGGCCGGCAGGTAGGTAGCCCGCTTCATGCCCCATCAAGGACAAGTTCACGTCTTCACTCATCTGTCTCACTCTCTGCTCCTGCACTGGTCTTATCTGGATTCCAGGAGTAGAGCCTGTCAAACTTCTCCTTCGTGAAGGTGGATAATTTAGCAATGTGACAAGCTCACTTTTTTTGGTCCAAATCGTGGCTAGTCCTGTCTTCCCAGGATACGTGGACAAATTGTGCCCCACTTCCTGGGCTCCTGTGAGGTCAGTGATTTTATGAGCTTTGCCTGTTCTAGGACTCTGCTGGGCTTGGCCCCAGTCATATTCCCTGGAATGTCTGAACGCTTTGAATGGTGTTCCTTGCATGTACAGTGGTGAGTTTTCAGCATCGGGGAGGTGTCTTTCAGCAGGTAGTCCTGTCTGGCACAGGGGAGCATGGCCAGCTGGGCGTGGCTTAGGCAGGGAGAGGCAGGATGTCTGAGCCGCCTGGCTCTGGGAGTCTTACAGTGCCACGCTAATCAGCGACTGGAGGGGACCAGGGTGTCCTGGAGCAAAACATGGATGTTATTAATGTATTTGTGATGACAGGGGCTGGGATACCCAGGAGATTTGGGAAAAAGAGCTACAGCCTTGACAGCAGAAGTATCAGAAAGCTGGCCAGAGAGTTCTCTCCACCTGAGGACAAGGAAATAGCAATTGAAATAAACACTTAATCTTTGGTGAAATGACTCAGAATTCCACTATATTGCCTTAAATGCTCTTCTCATGAACAGCCAGGAGATGCTGGAGCTTAGAAAGAAATCTTTTTAGAACATTTAGTACCTGAAAAGGACTCTGGAGTCCAGCCCGCCCCCGCCCCCATCACGCAGCAGAGCTCCTTTGGTGTGAGGATGTTTGCTGCTTCCTCTCCACTCAGTGCCATCTTTTGCTTAAATCAGTTGCTCTGGATATTAAAGGCCATATTGAAAAAGAGGTCCTGCTGTGTGGGGCTTCTCCAGGATAGAAGGGCAGGGGTATTTTTCAGGTTAGGTGATACTCCCTGCTTCTGTACCCCCACACCCAGCAAGACGCTGGGATTGTTCCTTTCAGGAACACGTGTTTTTCCCGCAAAGTTGATTTTGTGAGTAGATAATATACGAAACGGATGAACTATTCAGATAATACGCCGGAAAATAAGCCCCCCACTCCTGACCCCAAGGCACCCTCTCCCCCCCACCTGAGGTGATTACTGATAATGGTTTCTCTCAGGGCAATTCTGTGTGTATACAAGGAGGCGGTTACATATGGGACCCCATTTGGCACGGCACTTACTTAAACATCTATTGATGGAAAACTGTTCTTGTCCATCTTTTAGCTACTGCAAACAAAGTTGCAGTGACTCTCTGTTGGATGTATTTCTGTATGTAGAATTGATGACTGTACGGGATATTCATTTTAAATCTTGATAGACATTTAAAATAAGTTAAAACAAGTGAGTAAAATTACACGTTTTATTCCTGTTGCATCAGTGTGAAGGAGGTTGTGAGCTTCGTTGTCTGAGGGTGACATTCTGTCTGATCTGTATGTGTATAGATTCTTTGTGTCCTGTAAGAACTAGACCCTTTCTCATATATCTGTGTAGATAAGTCCAGTGTGGAGGATTTAAAAGTATATTTAACATGTTTATGTTGTCCGCTGTTTCATGAAATCATTTCGTCCTGATTCTACAAGCATCTCTAAGATCAGAGTCTTGCTTCCAGTAGGGCCCGTTGGGTTATCTAACAGACTTTCCATCCCTCTCTAGGTGAAATATAATACCTTTTCTATTTATGATACTATCAGAGGAAAATTTTCTCCAAGTGAAAATCAGTGGCACTTAGGATCAGGACACTTTTCATTGCTGTTATGTGGTTGATTACTAATGAGGAGTTTGTATATTTTTACAATTGAGTCTCACGGTTTTGGTCTAGTAAGTGCTTATTCACATATAAACTTCCTGCAGTATTTAGAAAATGTTCTGACCCTGGGTCATGTAGGCAGCACTTGGCCTTACCTGCAAGGAGCCTGAGTGCTAGGCCAGTTCCTGGCTCACCTGGAAATCTTTGCAGAGGGAAGCACAGTGGTGCGAGGATTTCAGGAGTGCCA